GTTAAAGTTTATGTAAATACAACCAATGGAGTTATTAGCTGTTGCATTATAATTCCTGTCTTGATTTTAAACAGAGCAGCTCCACATTGTTAATTTTCTAGTTTCCTTTAGCAGATTGCTGTGCTGTAGTGCTAGGCTCATATTAAAAGAAAGAAAGAAAGAAAAGTAAGAAAGAAACAAGAAAAAAGAAAGACAGACAGAAAGAAAGAAACAAAGAAACAAAAAAAGAAAGAAAGACAGAAAGAAAGAAAGAAAGAAAGAAAGAAAGACAAAGAAAGAAAGAAAGAAAGAAAGAAAGACAGACAGAAAGAAAGAACGAAAGAAACAAAAAAAGAAAGACAGAAAGAAAGAAACAAACAAAGAAAAAAAAAGAAAGAAAAGACAGAAAGAAAGAAAGACAGAAAGAATTCATGGCTTACTTTTTGGTGTTTTTTTGAAGCGTATGGTGATCTGACCTTAAATTGTTTTTGTTTTTTTGTATATGACTAAAGGGATACATGCCCGTTCAGGTATTTTAAAGTCTATTTCTCGTATAAAACTAACGGGATAAGCGCAAATCTGACAACTTACGCATGCTTATTGACTATAGGTATGCTGGTCTGACTGAACCCCGGCCACAAAATCTGCAAATGAAGGGGACAAGTAAAACAAGCACGAAAGATATGTACATCCACAGGACAAGATTTACACATGCAAAGTACGTTTTAAAAATGGACACAAAACTTACAAATGTATTTCTGACGGAATCGCAAATTAGCCCTAGTTTACAGGCTGGTTGTAGTCTGTGAGCCTCACTGCATTTCTTTTTGGATTTTGTACATTCTTTTTATAAAAATAAATAATGTGCATATCTCTGCTTCACTAGGTGTTAAAACCCTGAAGCATAAAATATTAGATAATTAAAAACAACATAATTGTTCCTTTAGTTACCTTAATTTTTTGTTGTAGCTAAACAAACGTTAAAACAAAGCAAAACAACCTCGTTATACAGTCTTAATATAAGAGAATTTTTCTTTCCCTGATCAAACACTCTGTTTTCCTTCAAATGTTAGAAAGTGCATCTTTGATTTCTGTCCAACGTGTGGGAGTGGGGTTGGATAAACAGGCTGACACAGCAGGGGGAGGAACAGAGGCAACAACAATGAACACAAGCTAAAACAGCTCCATGTCACTATTTGTGGCGCTCAGGTAAATCAGCCTGAAATAATGCTCATGCTAGTCATCTGACACATTTACCTTGTTCCTTTGATTAAGCAGCTAAGACAACAAGCTCCCGCTGTGTTTGCATCGATTGTACTGTTTTCTAACAGTGATTAAACTGCAGCAGCCTTGCGCTCCCCTGTCAGGGTTGATGGCTGCATGCTGGACCAACTGAAACACTCGCATCGTTCATCCGATATGTTGCCAGGTTTGATCTGTAAAACAATTTAGCTGGATTTTGATTAAAATAAATGTTTTTAATAACGCCTGGTGCTTTGTTTACAAACACAGCCAACAGTTTTGCCTTTAGCTGCATAAATAATGGAACATAGGAGAAACTGACAGGTTACTGCCACTAAATCAACATTATTTTTGTAAATATATTCCATATGAACTCCTGCTTTGTTTTTGAAGTTGCTTATGCAAATCTCTTGTATGTGAACTACACAATATGGTTAAAGCAATATATACTCCAAAGTGATAATACACGAACACATGCAGACGTTTTTCACAAGATTAGATTCCTTTTTTAATCTTGAAACGAAACATCACAGCTATTTACAGCTGTGATCAAAATAAAAGCAGTCCAAGATCACCAACCAGACCAGTCACTGTTTTTAGTAGAAACAAATAATTCCTGCATGGTAAATAATTTAGTGGTATGTGCAGTTTAATAGGAAACCAACAGAGCCTTCAGTCATTTATGCAAGCAGCTGATTCTGCATAACAGAATCATTAATCAAAAGGGTGTGTGTAAGGGAAAAAAACCCAAACAGTATGGAGTTTAGTTAGGCGTAGTTCTGTTAGGAATCCAGTGTGTGTGGGCTGTGTTTTCTTTTTGTGTTCTCTCCCTCCATCACCAGGTGGCGCCCTGTTCTCATTGGTCCTCCCACACACTTGCTTCTGGTTGTGCTCATTACTGAGGAATCTTAAGCGGTGGACTGACACTAACTCGTTGCCAGAGTGTTTGCCAGTTTTGGGTACTCTAGCCAAGCTGAGTTTAGCTGAGTCGAACTGAGTCTTTGTCTCTCTGAGTTCTAACCTTGTTTTTGTCCTTGCCTTTTCGGCAGAATGTCATCTTGCAAACTGGATTGTTTGGCCTTCTCCCCCTGGAAGGATTTTTTTGAGCTTCACACTGAGCAGGGGATTAATCTTCACATGACCTGTTCAAGTTCTCCTGGAAATCTAAGTGGCAGTCCGCTCCATTGCTCCTCAAGGAACCAACCAAACCAAAAGACCTGTCGGCCCTCCAACGAGTCCCCCAATCTCTGGATAAACCCACGCCGACTGGATTCTGGGAAGAGAACCTTTTTCTGCTAACGTGAGTCCCGTTCATCTTTGATTTTTTGCAAGACATTGTTCAAATTTACAACGGACCCTGAACTATCCTCTGAACTTCCCTTCTCACTTCCAGTTCCAGTTCACCAGCTCTCTGACTTACACTGGAAAAACCTTATTGATTATTCTAATAAACCTGTTAAACTTTTACTCTGGTTCTGAGTGGTTTCCTGCATGTGGGTCAGATCTCTTAAAAACATCATGACAAGTTCAAACAGCAAGAAATGTGACCAAAATCGATACTCCATTTTTTTTCCGTCTAAATAGCTCGCTTTCATTGTCTTTACCCCTCTATAGAAATTCTAATTTGAGCCACTTCCAGTTGTTGTATTAGTCATATCAAATAGTTTTTAAAGCATTTGGAGTCTGAATTTCATGTTGTTGCCTTAGATCAGAGTAGATTTTTACACAGCTGCAGCTTCCCCGTCTCTTCTACTAAAGGCTGTTAATGGTAGTGCACTGTTTTTATCTCACCTCCCTTCTTCTTTTATGATAAAAGGATTTTAAAGGATTCTTTCACATCATTTGGCGGAACAAGCAGTTCCCCCCTAAACCAGAGAGTGTCCGGAAGTATAATACTAAAGACAAAAACAAAGAAAAGGTGAGCCATGCCAGTGCTGAAGAAAGCAGAATAAATGAAGAAGGTGAAAGCAGAACATTTTGTAATGATGCAGGTTATGGGTGAGTTTTAACTAGAGGTTTAAGTGCCACTATGGGGTAAAATGTGCTTCTTTTCTTGTTATTTTTTTGAATTTTATCATTTATTTATTAAACACTTGGAGAGAGACACATCTATTATTTGTTCTTTATACAGTTTGCTGCTCTGTCCTCTACATTTTATTCTATGGGATCGGGGTTCTGAACCAGTTTCACTTTTCCATAGCCCATTTCAGACATACACACTAAATATTATATCTAACAATTACACGTCATTAATTACAGTATATGCATGTAAATTTTGTATCTTTTTGCTGGTTTTTCTGAAATAAAGTGATACGTTCGTTCACTCATACTTACATATAATAAGCTTTAAGACCTGATGTGTGAACGTAGCTTTAGTGAGATTTTCCGTTTGGGCCTAAATGCCCCCCAAGCACTAAATTCAAGCCGCTTTGCAGTGCAGTACATGTTGTAGGGATATTTCTTATGTCGGGTATATTTTCAAATATCGTGGATCACTGATAATGAATTATATTATAAGGTTGTATGAATGTTGACTTAAACCTATAAATACTGAATATTCTAATGCATGGCTATCATTGATTCCTACTATATCTGAGGCATTACACTGCAGTCCTGCAACCCTTGTGAAGCGACCAATGCAGGAGAATAAAACAACACATGCAGTTCGAAATCAGTCCTAAACATCAGCCTTAAAGTAAATCATGATGTTTAATTTAATTTTCAGGAAGTAAAATGCTTGCTCATAGTGCAAAAGCATTAGGTCACTCTTAAATTTTATGCTTTGATCCACCTTTTGCTTCTCTGGGTAGATGTTTATCAATATTGTCCTACTGAAAGGTGAACCACCAACCCAGTATTCGAGTCTTCTGTAACCCCTACAAGGTTTTCTTTAAGGATTGTACTGCATTTAGCTCCATCCATCTCCTCATCAACTAGAGATGAGCAGCCATCACTATGATTCACAGAAGCAGTGATGTCTCAAGATCAGGGGTCACCAACCTTTTTAAGGCTGAGGGCCACTTCAAGGGTACCGAGACGTAGGAAGGGTGACCATTACTGACCCATGAGCTGCAAGGGTTAGCGTTAGCCTAAACTTTGTACATTATCAACTTATTTTTATTGTTTCTGTTAATTTCTAAGTTTATTTAGACATTGTCATTTTTGAAATCTCTATAAATGATTAAAAAGAAGAGCAACAGAATAAAATAAAATTTCAAACTTAGCCCACTGGTGAGTTGTTCTTTATTTAGAAGACTCTGAGGGCCCCCTATGTTGCCCTTGAGGGCACCTTGGCGCCCACGGGCACTGCGTTGGTGACCCCTGCTCCAGTTACATGTCTAGCAATAGCTTTTCACATGTGAGTCTCTCATCCCCATAGCATCAGGTTGCCATCACCATGTGTGGATGTGGGGATGGTCTCTTGCATGTAGGCCATAAGGTAAGATTTAGATCTCATCACGCTTTACTTAGGTGACATCTAAAGGCAATAACGTTTTCATCAATGGGCTTCAGGGCAAAGAGGGCTAAATATAGAAAAAACTTTTTTGTTTACTTCATAGTAAGGTGCTATTTTGTGTAAAAACTGGGGTTATAATGTGAATAAATATCAAAGAGTTGAAGTTGTGGATATTTTTGCAAACATATATGCTGGAGGTAACTCTGGGGAGATCTCCCCTCTCTGCCTAAATGAGTGACAACATCAACCTAAAACATTTGGAGATTAAAGAACGATGGTAGATATAGCAGATGGATAATTATTAATATTGTGTAATACTTACGTCTCATGTCTCGGAAGTAAATAGTCTGTCTGTTGGGGTTGAGGAGCTGGATAACAGAGTCATCATTGTCCTTCACCCGACAGCTGATGATTGCCGTCTCTCCTTCCACCACAGACACATCGTCCGTCACCAGATTCTGACTCACCACTGTGTGACAGAAAAAAAAAAGAGGAGACGGCTTAGATTGCTACTGAGGATTCAGTGAATGCATCAGAGAGCAAAAAAAAATAAACAAAAACTGAAAACCTTCACAGTTAAGTCAGTAGGAAGCAAGTGGGATGACTGGCTGACCCAAAACCAAGGACAGGAAAATAAAGGAAATCTACAGCAGAATACAAACGTCATTTTTGGCCCCTTTCTTGATTCTGTGTGGCCCCAAAGAGTAGGAATGGCACATAATAAAACTCACCACCTTCCACCCCCAAGGCAGTGGACATGCTGTATTTTCATAACTTAACACCTTCCGGAGAGTCTTTGAAGGGACAGTGTGCCAGGAGGTTGACCAGGTCTGCTAATACTGGTGCTTAACTTTGGTTACGCTGCAAAAATGATCTCAAAATTTGTAAAAATGTCTTAAATTAAGGGTATTTACCCTTAATTTGAACAGGTAAATAAGATGATTTGCCAATGGAATGAGTATTTTTACTCTTAAAATAAGCTATCTAAATGTTATGCACTTGAAATTAGACAATGCAGTTGTTTTTTTCTTATTTTAAGTGTAAATTGTCTTGTTCCACTGGCAAAGTGTCTCACTTAAATCCTTAATTCAAGAAAAATGCACTTATTTTAAGAAAAAATGACTTATTTAGATTTCATTTTTTTGCAGTGTAGTGTTACTAAATATTGCAAATGCCTGTTCAAAAGGAGAGGCAACCTTTGTGCCGCTTCTGAGTCTCTTTGCTTCCTTCAGTCAGCATCATTGCTTAAAAGCTTGACCAATGTTCATCCTTGTTTTTGCTTCTTTTTTGGCTTGAATCTGAGAAATGTAGAGCTGAGAAGGAGCCATTTGCTTCATCTCACATGACTTTGACCTACAACTCCTTATTGTGCACAATTTTTATTTTTTATTTTTTGCTTAAGTTTACATTGGAACCAGAAGTAATTATTTCTATATTTTGGAACCTGCGAAAAATCCATGAAACAATATTTTAAATACTGCAATTATTTTCAGTAGAATTAGTACTTTTATTGTGAACCACTCTAGACATTCTTTAAAGATTTATTTAAAACCGTTTTGATGAGAAAGTTGTAATTAAGAACTTAAGACAAAAATGTCAGGAAGAGCTCTAAATTTTCAAATTGTTAAAAAAAAGTTTGCTTTATTTTTATAGTTTTTTTTTGTTATAGTTAATAGGATGACAAATGTCCAGTTTGCTACTTTAATAAATAAAAAAAAGATATTCTCTTTGTAGCACAGAAGCCTTTTCAACTTGACAATTTTGACCCAAGTGGGAAAGTTTGATCACCACCACTTTACCCCATCCTAATAAAGCTCAGGGGTAATTTTAAATCTTAATCTACATTTTTACCATTAAAACTGAGCAACACTGCAATCTCAAAAATCTGCCTGGAAGCAACACTTGGATGGCTACTGTATTATAAATGATATATATTCATGTCTTCATGCCAGTAACATAATTAGCTGATTGGAAGCAATTCTACTGCCATAGATGCACACAGTTGGTATGCAGAGACATTGGTGTCATAATGCCAAAACTCATGGTGCAGCTCTTCTACGTCAAGATGATGAAGAAGGAAACTATGGATCACCACCAGGGTGCCATGTTGTAAGGGGGTGGCAGAAAAACAAATCAAAATGTGATCCTGATGCTTATCTGCATGTCCAATCATTGGGTAGGTGGCTCCCTTCTGTTTGGAGACATATCGTGGTAAGCAGTTCAGCACAACCCACACTTTGCTAAAAAATGCGCCGCTATTTTAAAGGGGAAACAAACAGGTCTTCCTACATATAATGCATCGTTACAAATATCAAACAAACAAAATTATTATTATAATAACTTCTTTTGCTTGTGTTTCAAGTTTATGCATCCAATGTAAACTGGTCCTAAATGCATTAATGATATTGGTGCATGTTTTTCTTAAAACAAAAGGTTTGATAAATCTATGTGTGCTTTAAAGAATTTTACCAACATGAAGGATTATCAAATTGAACTTTAACCAGGTTCTGTATTTTCAATGTTTATTTAAAGATGATAAACATTGTTACACTTTTATAATAATAATAAAAACAAATCTATAACATAGTCATTTAAGTCAGAGCTACAGTTACTCTAATATAATCAGGTCCATCAACCACCCATGACCCGGAGGGCATATTTTGTTACACAACACAGGGAGGTAGAAAGGGTGTGGGTAAAAAAAAAATTTTAAAATTGTCAAAAGTTCAAAGACAGATCCTGAAAACTTAAGAATTAATCTGATAGTAAGACTCAAATGAAAAGATCCTGAGAAGTTCTATTTCTAAGAAAACTATGAAGATATTTGGGTTTGGGTCACTGCACATGATTGATAAACCCTTTTTTTTTAAATATATTATATATATATATATATATATATATATATTCCAAGTTTGACTCCCACTGAGGAGAAGAAATACAGCAAACTGAACCAGTTTGGGTGCATGTTATAGAAAGAAGGTGCCTGACACCTCTCCATGTAAGGCTCAACCTCTACAATTACTCTCCCGCTTCTTGGCAAACAACCCACAGACACAAAAAAGAAAAAAAATACAAACCCTTTGGGTCATGAAGTGGCCACTGTCATCACTCATTGACCTTCTCTAACGTCGCTGTACTTCCTTGTTGCAAAAACAATATCTCTGCCTACAGAATGAAGCATTGAGCCTTTCCAGTTCTGTGTTGTTAGGATTTGAAAAACTGCAGTAATAACCTCTCAGACTTAGCTTAGGGGTAACATCTATTGTTGCAGCTGGCGTTAAGCCTGTGGTGGCGTTGGCTCATTCTAAATGATGACCACAAACCTCGGACTGGGCAGCCAGCCAGTGGGGGGCTGACATTACTGGTGGCACCCAATGATAAAAGCCAATGTGCACTTATGAAATCCTACAGGCAGGAATCAGTTCTGGAAACGATTACAAGCAGGCTGAGAAAAAAAAGGGAATTTAGCTAATTCAATAATAGTTAAGGCAGACCTGAAAGGTTAATACACTCATTATTTGTGTGCAACACCATTTCTCTCAGCAGCTTATCAACATAGAAAAAAATAAAATAAAAACTCAGAAATTACCCAGTGTATAAATTGTAAACTTGCACATCAGCTACAGTGGCGGTTCTAGACCAAATGTTCCAGGGGGGCCAGGAGGGGGCCAACGTGTTTTCATGGGGGCACAGAAAAGCATGAAATAAAAAAACAGGCCAAGGGATTCAAATAAATTAAGATAGCTGCATGAAGTGAAATTTCTATTAAATTAGGTTTCATTAAAATTCTAAATGTCTTAATAGGTCAATATACATTCAGAATTTAGGAATTTTCCTTTTTTTTAAACTTAATTTAAGTTTCAAATTACAGTTTTCTATAAAATCTGAATAAGAATTTAAGAAAAAAAACTGTTAAAATTAGCTGTAAAAAGTAGAGTTTTTTTTTTTTTACATTTGTTTTGGAAAAAAACATTTAGCAGATGAAAACTGGGATCCTATCTCAATACCACTCATGCTATGTTTTTAAACAGTTAATAAAACAGAATTTGTAAAGAAAAAAATAAAATTGATCCAAAGGATCTATCAGTAACCATGTCTTTTTCAGCGCAGAATTCCTTTGAGTATTATGTCTTCAGTACAGGGGCCAGGACTTGATCTACAGGGGCCCTGGCCCCCGTTGGCCCCTGTCTAGAACCGCCCGTGATCAGCTAGTCAAAGCATTGGATCAGAGCTGTCTCTTAAAACACACAGTTCTTATTTAATGGAGGAAAAAAAGTTCCATAGGGAGAAATAACACCGACATTTTAACCAATGGCGTTAAAAATTGTTTCACCAAAACATGATGGAGCAATAAGCTATTTTAATCATTCACGAAGTGGCTTGGTGCTTCCCGAGAATCAAGAACCGACTCCAGTTTTGGCAGATCTCATCAGGCACAAATCTTAAATGAGAAAGGATTTCAGAACATTCACCTAATTCCTCAGCATGATTAGATTTATAAAACCCTGTCCCTCCAAAAGCAAATCTATCCTGGCTATTCTCTCTAGAACAGAAAAATGCTCTAAGTCGTCTAAATGACAATCCACTCTGAGATGGGCGTTTAGCATGAGTGTGCATGTTAGAATCCGTAGTTATTGGTGAAATACGTATATAGCTTGAGAATAAAAATGTTTACAAGGCTCTGTAAATCTAGAGGGTCCTGTTAAGATCTGCCAGTCTTCAGCCTGATGTTACACAATAACGAGACAAATATTGCACAAGCAGCCCAGGTCGTTGATGTTAAGTAGATGGGATTGCAAGCCAATTCAGTCTCTGCGGCCCAATACTGCTTTTGATTAGTTTTAATTTAATCTAATAAGAGATCAGACTGCAGCAGCATCTCACCTAATAAACATGACATCTATCACAAACAGGTGGAGCCGAGTGAGAATACACTTACTGAAGAGGCTCAAGGTTGTCAAATATGATGTTATGATCAGACAAATCAGTTGTTTAATGAGATATGAGCTCTGCTTAAACAACCGTCAATGCACATAACATTTAAAAAAAAAATGATTGCAATTTAGATTGATTTTTTTAAGGTTTAATGATTAAAATGTAGAGATTAAACTGGCTAACACGAGAAGGAGTGTAAATATCTTATCTGCATACCTCAGTTGTTCAGAAGCTCTAAACATCTCTGCCAATTAAAAGACGGGGAAGATGAGTTGGGAAGGGAGAAATTACCTCGTCTGATGCTGACGGATAAGGACAGACAGCTTAACAAATGAGATTCAGATCAGCATGCCTCTGCGGCCCAAACAGAGCCCTGACTAAATGAACCTCTGTGTCTTTGATATTCAAGAACAAACCTCGCTTTTCAAAGATGCACAAGGGTGGGCGGCAGCGTGGGCATCTGGTTATGATAATACGTCTTACATACAACAAAATGCATTTCAAGGCACCCACTGAAGGTTACAAGGCAACAGC